GGGAGAAGCAGGCTCTCCGCTGAGCAGGGAGCCGGACGTGGGGCTCGATCCCAGGACCCTGGGATCATGACCTGAGCCGAAGGCAGCCGCTCAACTGACTGAACCACGCAGGCGCCCCTAAAGATTTTATTTTTAAGTAATATCCACACCCAGCGTGGGGCTTGAACTCACGACCCTGAGATCAAGAGTCACAGGCTCTACCGACTGAACCAGCCAGGTGCCCCAGTGTTGTTTAATACGGGGACAGAAAATTATATTGGTTTCTGTTCTCAAAAATATGACTTGAATTAATTTACATGAATCATTGCTTTGTTTCAGCTTTGCCCGAAGTTTTTACATACAAATTCTACTAGTCACACTTGGCCATTCAGTGCAGTTGCTGAACTAATAGGTATGTAAAATTGACATTTCATGTATAATATGTTACTTGCAATTGAAGTTTTAAAAAACTTTTCATTGAAAAATAATATGCAAATGTGCTGTTTAATAAAACATGTATTTTGAATGATACCATCAGTAAAGGTTATCTAGCATAACAACTATTCAAATAGATGTCAAATTAATTGCTGCTCAACCTTCTCTGTACTATAAAAGTATTTTGCTAAATTTATGAAACATGTTGAAAATAGTTTTATTCTGATTATAAAAGAAATTGACATACTGCAAAAATGGAAATTGTGTTTTTTAATAGCTGGAAAGTACATATAACAGTCGATTTGTTTTTCTGATGTTAGCAATAGGGGGATTAATGTTACATTAGATTTGTGATAATACATTTTTGTTTCCTCCGATAGAATGATTAGGTATAGAATTGTATTTTAATAGTGTTTCAGTGAACATGAGAAGAGGCAAGGTTGTGATCAGATTTGCATTATGGGTCATGATTTTTTTCTATCTGGAAAATTCATGCATGTGAAATTTTTTTTTAAGATTTATTTATTTGAGAGAGAGCAGGGGTAGGGGCTGAGGGAGTGGAAGCAGACTCCTCGCTGAGCGTGGAGCCAGAGGTGGGGCTCCATGCCAGGACTTGAGATCTTGACCTGAGCCAAGAGTCAGCCTCTTAACCAACTGAGGCGCTCAGGCGCCCCTGATTTTTTTTTTTTTAAGCATGTGTTTGAGAAACAGGTAATAAAGGAAAGTATATTCTTTGGAATTCTTAGAAATACTTTAGATTCTTTGTCAAGAAAGGGTTCTATCTTAGATGTATAAGAGAAAAAAAAAGGAGGCACTTTTGAGCACCCTTCTTTTCTTTGGCATAGTTAGATTTTCCAAAGTCTCCCAGCTAGCGTGTGCTGTTCAGCTGGTTTTTTAAAAACCCGGAAGTGGGTATAACACTGCAGCTATTCAGAGCCATTCTTTTTTTACGGCAACCCAGAGGAGCCACCCAACCTGGGATTGATTGTTCATTCATATATAGTGATTGTCTGGCTTTGGGTTAGAGCAGCTGAAAGTCATGGTGCTCTTTGTGCTATACCAAATTTAAGTGAAACACCATTTCTCCCGACGTTGTTGATTAAAAAGATGATTTTAGTTCTAGGCTGCCTTATGGAAGGATAGTTTGAGAAGCATTATTTATGTTTAGTCATAAAGACTTCAAAATATACCTCAGCAAGTATTTTTGGTCAGTTAAGGATATTCAGGTAGAACTTAGATAGTTCACAAGCTGATGTTATTGCTGCTTCTGTTGACATTTAAAAAAAAAATTTTTTTTTTTAAATGTATTCCTTCCTACTTATTTATTCTGAGACAAACAAGGAAGCTAAACAAGAGTGTTAAGTGGGGATCTGTACAGAGATCATAGAAATGTAAAAGCCAGCAGAAACTTTGGTTAGATTGGAAAGGGCCACAATTTGAAGAACCGTGTAGAAGGTAGACCTTCATCTGTGTATCCAGCTTAGCAGAAAACATGACTGCTTCCTTGGTTATTCAGGAACTGCATTGCATTCCCTCGGTGTCAGCTTGTAGTGCGAGATGACACTCAGCTCTCAGTTCCTCTCTTGATAGCCAGGCCGGTTCTTTGGCAGAGGAAGACCTCTCATTCATCTCTTTGGTACAGTCATTCTTATTATTTGTACTTTTTCAGTAGAGTGGGCACCAGTGTGACAAATGGAGGGCTTTGGAAAGAGCTAATTCTGTAATGATCAGTGAATGATGTATAGCAAGGTACAGTTTAGTTTCATGTTTTCAAATTTTAGGAGTTTCTAAACATTTCAATTTTTAAAAAATATGTTGCATGTTAAAGGATTGTACTGAACTAATTGCTCTTTAAAATGAAAAATCAAAATTTCTCAAAACTTCTGTTTCCCAGATAATGCTTACGATCCTGATGTGAATGCTAAACAGATATGGATTGACAAAACAGTGATAAATGACCATATATGCTTGACATTCACTGATAATGGGAATGGTATGACTTCAGATAAGTTACATAAAATGCTAAGGTATGTAAAAGTGTCACATTTCTTTCTTTTTTTGAAGATTTTATTTATTTATTTGAGAGAGAGAGAGAGAGAGAGAGAGAGCCCGAGCAAGGTGAAGGACAGAGGGAAGGGGCTCAGCAGCCCGACACAGGGCTCGTTGTGACCTGAGCCAAAGGCAGACGCTTAACCGACTGAGCCACCCAGGCGCCCCAAAAGTGTCACATTTCTTAAAAATATTGCTTTTACCCAGTTCAGGGGTTTCATGTATCCTACTTATTGCCCATACTTTTTGTTTTTTAAATATGATATGCTATACCCACAGCCCACTCCGTTCTCTTAAGTCTTCCCATCATTTCCTACTACTATTTGATTATTAGACAATCCCTGCCATTCTCACCCCCCGCATGTCTGACTTATCCAAAATTCCACCGTTCCTTTAGAGTTATAGTGCAGTGATAGCAGTTATTTATACTCCAGTGTTAATTAGTTTTAACCAGTATTTCCAGTAAAACGCCACTTTTGGTGGGGAGTCATTTTAAAGGGATTCTGAGGATAAGGAAGGAAGCAAGATAAAATAGTCATAAAGCCTTGGGCTCTAGGGTCACAGAATAGCATGTCAGTGTGAAGCCAAATGTGCCTGAAAAGGAAACCAAAGTACCTAGTAGAGATACAGGATAGAGAAAATGTGGCAGCAGAGCCCTTTCTGCTGTCCCTTAAATACTTGTTATTCTGCCAAAAACTCTAGTCGATGCCATTAGTAATCATACTACAGTAGGCTTGCTGAGATCAAGGGAGTTGTTTGCATTTAGAAGAAATATCATGGGGTAAAATCTCAAGGGTCACAGGAGCCCAAATGAGAACTCAGTCATTTTGGCATGATGTGCTAGGCAATGAGCTCCTGTTTTAGTGTGTAATTCATACACCCTACAATGCAGATTTAGTTTTCATTTTAGAGATGGGGAAAAACGTCAAAATAGATTAAAAGTAGTTTGCCTAAGATTATGCAACTAGAGGATGAGGCTAACGTTTATACCCAGGCTTTTTACTTTATAATTTTTGAATTTAAAAAAATGAAGATTATACATATTTATTTAAAAAAAATTTTTTTTTTCCTTTTTAGCTTTGGCTTCAGTGACAAAGTCACCATGAATGGTCATGTCCCAGTTGGATTGTATGGGAATGGCTTTAAGTCAGGTTCTATGCGTTTGGGTAAAGATGCAATCGTGTTTACCAAAAATGGAGAAAGCATGAGTGTGGGCTTCTTATCTCAGACCTACTTGGAAGTCATAAAAGCAGAACATGTTGTTGTCCCAATAGTGGCGTTCAACAAACACCATATCCTTTTGATTTTGAAATAGAAACTATGGAGAAACTGAAGAAATACTCCGAACCCTTCCCTCCTCTTGCCCTTCTCCAGATTTTCGTTTTTTAATCAAAGTTTCCGTGATTGTTCCTACCCATTGCCTCTTACATCTGAGGCTAAGCCTTTGTCTCTTTCTCTCTTCTGTTGGAATTGTGCCATGGAAACCCTTAACGTCAGGTGGTTGCATTCTGTATTCAGCTTCCTGTAGCTCTCCCCTTTATTTCAGTTGTGTTATGCCTAATATGATATGTGGTTTGCCTTGAAATTTCCCCTAAGCCCATGAAAAGCAAGGTATCTTTAGGAGAATGTCTTCTGTGTATAAACACATTCTGTGTATAAACACATTCAGATATTAGGAACCATTAAATTAGGAATCATAATAAACTTGCTCATACTTCATCTTCCTTGGTGTTCATCTGAAATCAAACTACAGTTTTAAAACTTAGAAATTAATTTAGGAAATAGTTATCTGTTACTGTTACTGTTTGAGTCTCCATATTGGAATTGTGAAAAATATGTTGTTGGTCTAAGTCTTTAACTTAAGATATACGACAGATGATAAATTTATCAGAATCAAAAGCAAGCCTTGCAGCAATTCTGGAACATTCTCTGTTTTCTACGGAACAGAAGTTACTGGCAGAACTTGATGCTATCATGGGTAAGAAGGGGACGAGGATCATCATTTGGAACCTTAGAAGGTAAATGTGGAACTCAGTGAATGGTTTCTCATTTGGAAAGGAAATTGCTTGTGCAGGAATGGTTTTATTACATTTATCCATTGTCACACGGAGTAGAAATATGTTGGAAGGTACTCATTTTTTGGCATAGGTAACGATTTGTCTTTTCCAAGAGTGTTTTATTGAGGCCACTTTGGCTTCAATTTGAGATAATTTCATATTATTAAAACTAAATTTCCTATCCCTGCCATTGAGTAACCATAGAGCTCAGTTCTCACTTTCTGTTATTCTACCCCTCCTCAAATAATAAGCCCTACTTGTGTAAGTTAGGAAGAGAAATCTTTGTCAGTTACTTAAAGCCAAGCATAATTTAACAACTGGTGAGAAAAGTAATGTAGATGAGACCTCTGTATTGCTAAAGATTGTAGTCCTTTATCCTTGTGAGGATAAAATCATTTGCAAATAAGGTTTTTTTAAAACTTAGGATGAATGTATAATGTTGAGATATTTAGACACACAGAATGATAGGAATAAAGCACCAATTGAGTGGTAAGCCTAAAATACTTTACATCTTTTCTGATTTATATTCCCTTTTTTCCTTGTTTTGCTGTCAAGCCCCACCCATTCTCACTCCCCTTTTTTAAATTTACACTTTTTATTTTGAGATACCTGTAGATTTGTGTGCACAAATCTCATGTACTCTTTATCCAGTTTCCCCCAATGGCAGCATCTTACAAAACTGTAGTACAGTAGTGTTGATATCGACATTGATAGAGTCAAGAGACGGATGTTTTCATCAACCGTGATCCCTCATGTTGGCCTTTTATATCCACACCCCCTCCCTCCTTAATCCCTGACAACCTCTAACATGTTCTCCATTTCTGTAACTTCATCATTTTAAGAATGTTATATGAATAGAATCCTATAGTGTGAAAGCTTTTGGGATTGGCTTTTTTCATTATATTTCTCTGGAGATTCATCTGGGTTCCTGTGTGTGTCAGTAGTTTGCTTCCTTGTCCTTGCTGAGTAGTAGCGTATGGTTGGACCATCGTGTGTTTAACTATTCACCAGTTAAAGCACATCTGGATTTTTATCATTTTGAGTTATTGCAAATAAAGCTGTGAACATTTGTGTACAGGTTTTTGTGGAAATATAGTCTTTCTTTTTCTAAGATAAATACCCAAGAGTATAATTGCTAGGTCCTATGGTAGTTGCCTGTTCCGTTTTTTAAGAAACTGCCAGAATGTTTTTCAGAGCGGCTCTACCATTTGACTTCCTGCCAGCAGTGTGTGAATGTATACAGTTTTTCTGCATCTTCCTGGATTCTTTTTCTTTTGTTTTTCCCTTGCTTTCGTCTCCCCCCTCGCCCCCCAACCAGGACGGGTAGGTGTTTTGTTTTGTTAAATAAGTATATTTGCTTATCTTGCTGTGAAGTTAAAATTTAGCTCTTTCAAAAAATTGTTTTTATAGCTACAAAAATGCAACAGAGTTTGATTTTGATAAGGATAAATATGACATCAGAATTCCTGAAGATTTAGATGAGACAACAGGGAAGAAAGGGTACAAGAAGCAAGAGAGAATGGACCAAATTGCTCCTGAGAGTGACTATTCCCTGAGGGTATGTATTCAGCTCTCTTTCTGGACATGAGAAAATCATCAAATAATGGAAATTATGTTATCCACTTGTGTTATAAATGCTGTCAGTGATCTCTAAGTAAAAGTATCTCAGACAGGAACCAATTTATCTCACTTTTCATGAGCACACTGTCAGAAAAGGTTTTTTTGTTTTTGTTTTTTTTTAAAGATTTTATTTATTTACTTGACAGAGAGAGACACAGCGAGAGAGGGAACACAAGCAGGGGGAGTCGGAGAGGGAGAAGCAGGCTACCTGCTGAGTAGAGAGCCCGATGCCGGGCTCGATCCCAGGACCCTGGGATCATGACCTGAGCCGAAGTCAGACGCCCAGTGACTGAGCCACCCAGGCGCCCCTGTTCAGAAAAGTTTTATAATTGTAAAGTCATCAGGTCTAACAGCACTTGTAGTTCTTTCACTGGGTGGTTAGATTATTTGCATTAGGAATTCTAGAATCAGTATGTCCTATAGTAGCCATATTGATTAATCCAGGCAAAAACACGAAGTTCAGTGTCTCTCTTTTTTAGTTTAAAATATTCTAGAACACCTTAATTTGCATCCTAAAGCAAATATAGACTACAGATCATACACATTAATACAGTTTTGTGATAAATATCTCTGACATTTGACCTTATTAATAAGTGTTTTTGAGATTGAAATTAATACTGTTTAAAATGTTGATATGATAATAAGAATATTGTTTCTTAGTCACTATAAGACATATAATACTACCTTCCCTTTATTTTTTTGTGCTAAGATGATTCCATAACCCCAAGTTGAGGAAAATGTGACATTTACACATTTACAACTTTCTGATACCCTAGCAGTTATATACCCCAAAACGTTATTGAAGTATGTCCTAGTTGTTAAGAAAATGTTGCTCAATTATGAAACAGATCCAGAGGCAGGCCCAGCAGGTGGTGTGGATTTAGTGTACCATGAAGTAAAATGTTTTAAATATTGTTAATAAATTTTATAAATGATAAAACACTAATTTTGAAATCAGGAATCAGGAAATAAAGAGAAATGTTCAAATTTTGTGTTGAATCTTCATCTGTCCTTGTGTTATTCAATTCATTTCTTTAGCGATATATGATGGCTTGGAGGCAGGCATAGAACAGCATATTTATTTTTAACATGTTTTAGAATATGGACTTCAGTCAAGATTGTAAAGTATTGGGGCACCTGGGTGGCTCAGTCGTTAAGCGTCTGCCTTCAGCTCAGGTCATGATCCCAGGGTCCTGGGATTGAGTCCAGCATTGGGCTCCTTGCTCAGCAGGGAGCCTGTTTCTCCCTCTGCCTGCTGTTCCCCCTGCTTGTGCTCTCTCTCTCTCCCCTCACCCCATCAAATAAATAAAATCTTAAAAAAAAAAAAAGATTGTAAAGTATCTCAACTTTCTTTTTTTCTTTTTTTTAAGATGTATTTATTTATTTGTGAGAGAGAGAGTGCATGTGTGAGCAGGGGGATGGGCAGAGGGAGACGGAGAGAGAAAGAATCTCAAGCAGACTCCCCGCTGAGTGCGGGGCCTATGCAGGCCTCAATCCCAGGACCCTGAGATCATGACCTGAGCCAAAATCAAGAGTTGGCCGCTTAATTGACTAAGCCCCCAGGCATTCCAGTATCTATATTTTCATACATTAAGAATTGAAAATACATTTAGATTAGTGCTGATTGTTACAGTTCAATTTTTAAAAAATACTGAGCTTGTCTACTTGGCTTAAGTGTTGGTGTATTTATGATATTTTCCTTTTCAGGTGTACAACAGGCCTTTCTGTCTATATTAGATTTTGCTTGTTATTTTTGCCTAAATAAAATTTATCATTACTTTTAAAATGCAATAGTAATATATATACTTGACAAAGAGTCAGAAATACAATCCTTTTTTGTACATATGTACATTTTTTAAAAATTAAAATGAAATATCACATATGCTGTTTTATAACTTTAAAATGTTTTATTTGTAATATAATATTCATATAGGTCAATAGATTGTTTTCTGCAAACCATTTTTCAGGCTATAGTATATTGAGTATATATTTTTTTTTTTT